AGAGAGAGAGAGATAGCGAGAGAGAGAGAGATAGCGAGATAGAGAGCATGTATAGTTAGTTATGTACGCACCTGCTACCGGATGGAATGTCTCTTCAAATATGTCCACTGCGGTCTTGGAGTTTGTACGGTTGTTGCTGAATGGACTGAAGTTGGGGATAAGCAGCAGTGCAAATGAGATTGCCAGAACCTGCCGAAAGAAATGTGCAATATTAAAATAAACAATTGGCAATAAATTTATTGCGACTATTTTCATCGTGAGCGTAGAGAGACATCTCTTTTATTAAATAGATATGTTTGATTTAATTTGGTGAGCAGTTATGTTGTAATGCGCTTTACAGAGGTACCTGCCCCTAACCCCGACTGTATCCTTATAATGGGACTTAAAATTGCGGAATATGGTATGACCACGATATGCGCCAGGCTTCTTTTCACACAGTGAAAAAAATACACGGGGGCTCGGGGCGATTTAGCCCCCGAAATGCCAAAAAGAGCCCCGGAAATGCCAAAAAATAAAAAATGAAATGCCCCCATAAATTTGCATAGTTCAATGCAAACCAAATTTTAGAGTGCTATTTTCATGCACGCGAGCTTGAAAAGTAGCCCCCGAAAAATGGATTTTTTATTTTTTTCCCTGCTTTCACACGTGACGCGCTTGCGCGCTACTCCACGCGGACGTACCATCACGCAGGTGCTGGCCTGTGCAGTCTTGTTCGTCGTCTTGATGACGAGAGTCTGCAGCCTCTTCAGCTGACTGATGAGCGTTACGTTCTGCTTCTCAAGATGCTGGACCTTCCTCTGCAGCAGGTTGTTCTGGTCCGTGCACAGCTTCACCCTGCAGACGCAAAGCAGAGGCGCGGTCAGCAAGACGAACGCAGGGCGGGGCGACCAGAGCGAACATAGGGCAGGGCAAGCAAAGCAAATGCAGGGGGGGGCAACCAAAGCGAATGCAGGGCGGGGCAACCAAAGCGAACGCAGGGCGGGGCGACCAAAGCGAATGCAGGGCGGGACAACCAAAGCGAACACATGGGGGGGGGGGTAACCAAAGCGAAGACAGACCTCGCAGGAGTATCTCTCGTCTGCCACGCCACCCACCGGCGCCGTGCACGCGTGAATTGTAAACAACCCGTACAAGGCAATGCTTGTACCCTAATTTTTCCCAGACACTAAAAAAAGCATTTACAGTGTTATTCTAAGCGATTCGTGAGATAATTTCTTTTACACATTTACAAAAAAAATCATTTACAAAGTATCCACCTAGCATGATATCCAGCTATCTCGAAATGCTGAGTTTTGCTGTCTAGTGCTCTTTCGCATGTGACAGATAAGAGAGGGGGTGTGTATTTAGGGCAAATACAGACTGTGGGATGTAGCAGCTGCTTGGTCAGCACATTCCCTCCCATATAACAATCTGCTGTAGTTTGGAGGTCACCCCAGCTAGCCTAAATAGAACGTTTGCACGGTTTAGTGCACACACTTTAATTTAAAGAACTGTGGTAGGAGACAAGAAAAATTCATTTTAAAAAGATATATTCTGCTAAGAAAGAGTCTCCATTTGATAGCACAAGTTCATGCCAAAAACTTGCAAGAACGACTGTAATTTTGCGACCCCTTGTTAACATTTGACCAGTTCATGACACACGGCTGGTTAGTGAGACAAGCTACTTGTAAATCAGGTGGTTCTTTGAGATAAGTAGAACCTTGGCAGCTGCCACATAGCTGCTCAAACATTTGATAAGAAAACACGCGACTGCCTATCAGTCATTGCATTCGCCAGCTGTCCCTTCCCAGGTGGTACATAGTACATACACACATTGCTCATGATACGCTCCAAGCAGACAAACAGCAAGCCACACAAGAATGTACGAGCTAATTACCTATGTATGCCCTTTGGCCGCTTAAAGTGATTACGTCACCGTAAATAGTAAAACTAAAAATTTTTCCCCCACTTTTTCACAAAATTTTAAGTCATTCTGTTCACTTTTTATGGTTAAATTGCTGCATTATACTTCCTATATTCCTATATTGTTCGATGTAAACATACACTCGTGACTCATACATAGCCCATAGCAAGCAATTAATGTCAGGATAATAATATCAAATCGTCCAGGTTTTTTGGATTTTTAACTAGTTGAGAAACAATCTTATCTGGTAAGAATTTGACGATACATTTAGTCCCGTTAGTACTTACTATTAATGTAAAAAAATGGCAACAAATTTTTTTACAAATATCACCATAGAAAATTAATGACGTAGTCAATTTAACTGTAACCGCGAAATCTTTGGTTATGACTACCGTACAACTGTCATTTTAGATGAAGCACCCAGCACAAAATTGATGTGACACCCTGCAAAAGGGAAAAATTCAATTTAACCATTAATTTAAAAAGATAGGTGAAGCCCAACCACTTCTTTGCAAAAGGTAGAAAAATTCCTCTGCCTATGCTTGCCCCCCACCAAACCCCATTTTGGATCACAGCGATTCCTGTGACACAAATCTAGGCATTTATGCAGACAAACGTACAGAATACCTATCAGCATGAATGAGTGTTAATTAGTTTATTAGAAGAACCTGTCTGCAGCAAATGAATACCTTTCTTCCAGGCCTTCCACGTACTCCTTCTTTCGCTTTCTCGAATCCTGCGCGGATTGCTGCAACAACAGAAAGACGTGTGTATGCAGATTGATTAGGCAAAACAAATAAAGCGTGACTACACTGATATACATTCCTACACTCGCACTCATACCTTACATGTATACTATTGAGCATGTTCTGTATTCGTATCTTTGCGCTTCATGCATGTAGATCCAATGACATGTAGATACACATGTTGATGTTACATGTAAATGTACATGTAGATGCAACCACATGTAGATGTACGTACAACATGTAGATATACATGTTGATGTTACTTGCATTTAGGTGTTACATGCATGTAGAAGCATATATGTGTTATATCATGACATGTAAATGTTACCTGCATGTGGATATTACATGTAGTTCTTACATACACATGTTACATGCACGTAGTGGGGGGGATATACACGGGGGGGGGGGGATATACACTCAGGCCTATACAATTAAGCCCGACGGGCCCGTAGAAATCCCCCCCAGCATGCAAAACTGTCCCCGCTACCATTACCGGCCAGCGAGGATGAAAAGTTACTGCAGTATCGCTGACTTGTGTCAAGTTTGTGTCAAGGCATGTAATTTGCCTGGCGGGCCTGTAAAATCCCTGACCTACAGGCCCGACGGGCCTGTAAATTTTCTAACTAAATTCTACCCATGATATAGATGCCACATGTACACGTTACATGCATGTAGATGCATGCCACGACACGCTACGTTGCGTGCGTCCTCGTCGCGACGTACCTTGTTTCTGATTTTCCGGCGCACCCGCTTGAGAGTTCGTTCCTCGGCCTTTGTGAGTGGCATGTTCTCTGGGAGCGCGATCCCTTCCCGATTCAGCAGCTTTTTCTCTTCCGTGTTCAGCCTGAGCGGTTGACACTGCGTAAAAGATACGGACGTACGTTCAATCACCGCACCGGACACGCCAGGAATCCACGGTGCAAAATCCACCTTTGTTGCATCAAACTCGTGATACACTGCTCGGTTTTTTCGCGATCAGGTAGTCTGCACAAATTTCTGGCGGTACTAATACGAAACGACGCTGGCCCTCTAAATTAGTAGTGCTAGTGATTACGGTATTACTAGTAATACCGTATTTAGTATTACTGGTAATAGTACGTTACTAGGTTTCACGACCTAGTAGTCTGCTCATATTTCTGGTTCTAACACGAAATGACATTGGTCTACCTTATTAGGTGATGTAGTCCTGAGCATTCTTTGCCATCAGAGAGTAAAGCTGACAAATTTCGAACTGCCTGACTACCAAGAAATTTGCACTATGAAACCCAAGCGCAATTCGACTTAAAATACCGACCTTACACAATGCAATATCGCCGTGGCAAACCCGGACGGTTTTATAACAGTATCTACCTTGAAACTTTTTCTCGTTTCCTGAGCTGGGGGAGTCTTGATAGAGTCCAGGGCAGTAGCAGAAACATCCAGTATGGACGCAATGCTTTGATTATTATCCTCACTGTGCTTACTCTCAGTCTCATCATCTGCGTAAATAAAGAAGCCATCTCTCTATAGCATCAATCTCATTTTGAAGCGATAAGACGATACAGCAGATACATGCTTCCCTGGGCCATCCTTAAAAAATTCTATGTTTGCTGTCCCCCGACCCACGATTTTGTTATTGGGTAGGTAGGTAGGTCTTTTTTTGGCATAATAGTTATTTTAAGTCTGTCCTCATGTTTGCCACACATGCTTTGTGTTTCAGTCTCTATAAAAAATGTAAAAAAAAATGGAACCAAAAATGTAAAAAAAAAACTGGGGTCGCGGCTATTTTCGTGGGTCGGTCGGAGGACAGCAAACATATAATTTTTTAAGGATGGCCCTGGATGTACCAGCAGTTAAGAAAAGTTAGCAAGTGTACTAATTGCACTTCACGTTTTTAACCATAGTGAATACAACCGTTAATCTTATTTGAACGCACTTTTAACCATTAATTAGTGTATTCATGGCGATAACTTTTGTTTTTACTTTATTGTAAATGATATGTACTCTCGCATGATGGACTCGGTGATATGTACACTCGGGTGATGGACTCTCGCAGCGTCAAACGTTCGGGGGAATATCTCTACCTGAACTCATGTCCATATCAACTTTATAATCTGTGGCTAAGTCCTCCACCGAAAAGTTTTCCAGCAGTTCCGGGTCCAAGGAATTGAGGTCTATTCCCTCTATCGTGTCCAATCCCATGCCGCGTAGCAGAGGATCGAATCCTACTATATTCACATCGCTGTCGGAATTCGACCTGGAATATAGTGCACGCGCAGCGATTAAAACCTAAATCAAGACCCAGCGTTTGCGCAACCGTTACTACTCATGAATGAGTCATCCACCTGTGAGACAGTAACTGGTTACCAAATATCCAAATAACGGGACGAGGCACAGAGTATTAGTAATAACATGCAGATCAGTGCAGATAAGATATGAAAGCAAGACTATTGTGATGCACGGCATGTAGATGTGCATGTGGGTTGTAGAGTGACCCACATCGCCCACGATTACCACAAGCACGTTTACAAGGCGGGTTTACACAGCAGCAATCAATTCGCAGAAGTCATCAACATGACAGCAGGTTTGGTGGCACAAAGAAGACACTACTTGTACATTACAGTACCCACATACGCGGGCTTAAGATTACCCTATTGCTACTGAACTAGTTTGCACGCACGATTGCGTCATATAACCTGTTCAACTGCTCGGAAGGTGAATGATCTCATTAGAGGTAAAAACAGGAAATAATGAACAGGAGCACAGCAACCTGCAGCTCTAACATAAAAATCGATTTCCGCAGGCAAACACATGCACTATTCAAGCAAGGGTCCGACAGTTAAACTATGATACAGGAAGTTTTTTTGCAACGTGGAAAATATCAGCCATATGGTTGACATGCTAGCAGGTATTATTCTTTACCTGGCAGGACTAGATGAGGATATTCCACTATCACTACCAAGTGGAGACGTTGCACCCTGGAGTGCGTCGGCAAACGCGTCGCCGTTTGGTGACAAATAGGACGTCAACAATAAATCCTCGTCAAAATGCTGTGACTGTAAAACAAGAGTGGCCTGTATGAGGAATGATATGCAGATTAAGAGACGGCCATCTGCATCAGTTCTGTTACTGCACTTTACAGGAAACATAGCAACAGGAAACGTAGGAACAAACAAACCACTTCACGGGAAACATATGGTCTTCCACGATTACCTTCACAAATATCGAAAGCACATAAGATGACAATAAAACTTAAAAGTACATGTCTCGTAATCCGTAATAAAATTCGGAAGACGGTTACTAGTTCTAACTAAAGCTGTGTTTATATTAAACACTAGACTATAAACAACCGACAGAAGCTTACCTCTGGCGCTGGTTGGACAGTGTTTTCATACTCATAGATTGGCATATCCAAATTCAACGTAATCGAATCCGTTAACAACCCGTCCTGCTTGTCAAATAGCATATCAAAGACGTTCGGATCTATGCTGTTGATCAATGTTTCCATCGTGGACGATGTTTCGATGAACGTCGTACGTATGGAATGCTGTGGTTAAGCAAAGAACCGATGATTGCAAACGGCTACTGCTGTTCCGTAATCCACTGGCACTGTAACAAATCCACTTCCCTAATCGAGTGCAGCAGTTGGTGGCGTCTCGTCTGGCTTACCGGATGAACGAGCACGTCACAGACAATGTTAGCTTGCCTAACTCATCACTCATTTCATATTTCCAAGCAAAGTGCACATTTTTAAACAACGTGTGCTCGTCTCGGTAACGGTCAGTGCCTGTGTGACAGGACTAGTAAACTTCTAAACTCGTATATCGTATAAATCCGACAACAACAACGGCAACAAACGACAGACTGCCACGATGACAAAATGCTAAAAATAGGAAGTGCCAACACGGCAGAAATGACGTCAGCAGCAACTACCACTTTCAATGGACTGGTTCCCACGTCGCTTTACTCTGTTTATAAAACGAGTATAAAGGGACGCTAAACCAATCTATGGCTACATTCTGAGGGGCGCTAGCACAGTAGCCACTAGCAGCTAACGCGGTGATGCAATCGCAACGGAACGTTGGCGATACCGTCTGAATAATATGTGAAACTGTGTTTCACAGCCGAAAGATTGTATCATGGCTAGCGTATTATAAAGTATATTAATGTAAAGTAAAGCTTTCCCCTGCACGCCACTGTACTTCAAAAATGTCAGGGGCGTAGCCAGCCTTTCCAAGAGGATGGTCGAACAAGTCTTGTGTTATGAAAAAGTCGTTACGTGAACAAACATATCTGTTTATGAATAAAGAGATATAGTCAGATTTGATCCAACTCTGTATTCAACTCTGTTGTGTTCTAGACAGTGTTGTACCGGCCTCGAGACCGTTTTCCTTGGTCTCGGTCTCGGTCTTGGCTTCGGAGTGCAATATGACTCGGACTCGGACTCGGATTCGAGCCCTTCGGACTCGAGAACTCGGGTCGAGGCCGGCTCGAGGCCACTATAGATACATAGTACACAACTGTACATATTGTAACACGCAGTTTACAAAAAGTTAAAACTAAAACTCCTAAGTTTTCTAGATACACGGCCTAATCTTGTAACGTTTTCAATGGCTCGATTAAGATTCTTGTCCCTTTGGTTTCAATGGCTCGATTAAGATTCTTGTCCCTTTGGTTTGAATCTGAGTGATGTCACTTCGTCCCTTTGCGCTTTTTCTATCACTTCTTTCTTTTCTTCTACCATTTCGAAGGTACTAGCACTCTCTCATTTGGTTCAAAAGCCGTGTCATTCTCGTAAAATACAAATGGATGTGTTACTTTGACACGTTTCGTATGACTCGTGTCTCTGTGGTTTCGGCTGACTATACACTTTCGAATGTCTACGATGCACTGTTGCGACTTTTTTCTTTTTTTCAGATTTTTTCCCTTTTTTTCCGATTTTTTCCCTTTTTCCGATTTTTCCCTTTTTTTTAATCAAAACTGGACTCGGACTCGGGTGGTGTGGACTCGGACTCGGACTCGGGGGGGGGGTGCGGATTCGACTACAACACTGCATGGTTCTAGATAATTATATATATATATATATATATCAGGAGCTAATAATGACACAAATTTTTTTTTTCATTATTAGCTCCTGATATATATATATATATATATTATATACATGGCACAAATTTAAATTTTCTATGTAATGCACAAGAGAGCAGGAGAAGGATTTCGAGTCTTGTGCCTTATATTGTGCGAGCTAAAGCACGTATAGGTACATTGCACAATATTTATTTATTGCTCGTCGTGCTATAATAATAATACCAGGAGTTATAATATCTACCTCAAACTAACTTGATTTTGCCATAATCCGTGGAGTGATTTGGACTGAAATCAATCTTTGTTTTTGTTCACTCATGATATATATATATAATAAAACGCGAAAACGCGCATATGCTCGCACCTCTAATATGATTGGTCATGATCATAAGCTTACAAGATATGGAATCAAAACAACAAGAAATCAGTTTATCGCTCTTTGAATAGCAATCTGTCAATTATATAGTTTAATTTGCGCGTTTAGGTTATACATAAATGTATATACATATACTCAGGAGTTAATAAAGACAAAGTTTATTTTTTACACTTTAATTGTCGTTATTAACTCCTGATAGACTGTATAAAGAAATATTATATGAATAAATTGATGGGTATATGAAATAATATGACATTAATTCATTTGAAAACTGGGCAACCTGTCACAGACGTGCCCAAGACCTGAAAAATCGAAGACCGTCAATTCACACATATGACATCAAAAGCACATATGTATGAGATATGTAAAACCACATAAGCTCTGTGGAAGACAGTAGCAGTATACCTGCCCTAACCTATGGCAATGACATAATTATATATAAGGATAAGAAAAAAGGAGCAGGCACTCTCCAAGCTCTTGAAAATATTCAAAACCAGCTTGGCAGGGAACTGTTAGGTGCCCCACCTTACGCGGGTATTGAAACAATAAGGGGGGGGGGAGCTTGGATGGTCCACGTTTGAGGATAGAGAAGCGAAGAGCAAATTTAAATATTTAGGGAGATTAAATTATATATGGATTAAGAGAGGAAATGCAGGGGAATAGCGGATGCTATCAGTGCAGGAAATTTGATGTCGGATTGGAATAGACGAGTAAAATTTCTGGGGGAAAATTATGACAAAGAACTGCTATTGATAAATAGAGACTAGGAAAACAGCGAAACATGGAACAATACAGTGGAGAAAATCATTATAAAAAACAGCACAGTCAGATGGAGAAAGGGGATGGTAAACAAAAACACACTAGAGCTATATAAAGGGAAAACATTTCCTAAACAAGAAACCTTTTACAATAATAATAAAATCGGCAGTAATCTGCTGTACTAATGTAGAGCGGGATGCCTCCCCGTAAATAAAAGAACCAGGAGATGGTTAGGGGAAGAAAATTGCACTGTGTGCAATAAGGGAGAACCAGAAGACCTAAAGCATTTCCTGTTAGTTTGCCCGGCATACAAACACCTAAGGAAGATCATGTGGGACAGGCTCCAAGAAGTAGGGGTCACCCCTGCACAGCTAGAGGAAAGGCAGGTGATGCTCACCATTTTGGGGCTAAATAAACATAGATATGTTATGGGGATTGGGTAGAGCAGGTAAAACATTACTTAGAATCAGCCTGGAAGCTCGGGAACAAAATCTCCCGGTAAAGTGAAATTACCGGTGGGAAACTATCAAAAAATAAAAAGGGAAATACCGATCTAAAGGTTTCCGTTCATACATACATACCAACATACATAAATAACTATAATAATAAACAAGACTGCATCAATAGAGCATTACTCTTATTCATAACCAGGAGTAAGATAAGATAGGTCTATCTTATCTTACTCCCGACATAACTATGTAGCTATAGTTTATGTTTGGGTTATGTGCTTAAAGTGTTTTTGATTCCACATGATCATCCAAGGGGACTATGCGAAATGATTTGTTGTGCACCCATGATCAACAGACATTTACAAGTAAAACATACCACCAAGAGAGGGCGCTACGATACAGTAAATGAAATCTACATCGCGATCCGTAGCTTCGCACGTACGATCGCGCTGTTCCTCGCGAGACCCACCGCACAACAACAAGGTAGCGGGATGGAGAAAGTTCTGTTTCCAGTGTAAACTAACCACAAACGTGATTTTATGCATGTGATGGATGTTTCTTGAGATCGGCCGACGATGGTAGCGAGCAGGGAAGTGGAGCGGATCTCCACACTCTGCGTGCATCTGCTACTGTTCACATCGTGCGTCTTTGGAGGTAAGTAGCCTAGAAAAGTTCCCGTTGACGACGAGAACCAGTCCTGTGCGTGTTCCTACCACAGTACCACATCCATGTGTCAAGTTCAATGCAGCTAGTCTGCCGGTGCTCGCCTTGTTATTGGGATCTTGACTGTATTTGCTCGCGGTTGACGTTTTGAATTAGTATCGGGGTTGTTGTTTTGCCTGTGCTGTGATTTATAATACTCGCAAACTATTCATTCATGTTTTTTTTATCTGAAATAATTAAAATTACTACATTATTATAATTACGACGTTGATACTTACCTGAGCAACAACACTGCTATAGCTATAACGGCTTGGAGATGTAGATTGGTCCAAGAACGACTCATTGTTCTATGAAACATTTGTGTGACTGCAGGCACTATTTGTAATTTGTATATAGCAAGGTTGACAGCATGTTGTTGGAATAACATAGTGTAAGGCATGCAATTTGTAAGGCAACTCTACATATTGACACTGTTCCTAAAAATCAGACACCCGTGTGTTGCATTATTAATAGATTTATTGACATTTTATAGCTGTCATAAATTGGTGGTAAAACTAGCACCTGCGTATATGCAACAAATGGTTACCAAGTTTTCAATAGATGCTATTATTGCTTACTCGTATTAACTTCAATCTCATGTACATACAGTCACAGTAATTCCTAGGACAGAAGGGATACGAAATGCATGGTGTAAAAATAATCAGTGAACTTGTAAGTGCCAAACTGTGTTTATGCATCATAAAACCACAAACAAAATTTTATGGTACCATTGTTAAAATGAAATCAGAAATGCCGGTTGCAAGTGTGTAGCAGCGAAATTTCACTCAAAGTGCAAATTTCTGAACATACGTGCATGACCATAGATCTTTACAATTTCCATTCCATCCATTCAGTTTAGATCATTGAACTTCTAAGTTCCTTGCAACGAGAAATCTTTGGATCAAATTTTCTGTGATATATATATGGATTTAATTCACTATATCACCAGAGAAATCACTTGCGCTGCTCATGTTAGTAGAGTTTGGTCTCTCAAATGTAAAGCTTAAGGGTTGGAATCCTTTACCTTGCAGATATAGAGAGATGAAAACCCTCACTTGCCCACACATCGTGATTTTCCTTTTAAGTCTAGCCGATCTTTCGCGAGCCGCCTCAAAGAGTGCGAAAAACGCTGAGCTCCTAGAGAAATTTTCTAGAGATCAGTTTGTGGTTAATCTTTCAAGTGCAGATGAGGTTTCACAGTCTCTCGCTCTCTCCCTCTCTATCTCTCGCTCTCTAGTATCTCTCTCTCCCTCTCTCTCTTTCTCTCTCTCTCTCTTTTTCTCTCTCTCTCTCTCTCTTTTTCTCTCTCTCTCTCTCTCTTTTTCTCTCTCTCTCTCTCTCTTTTTCTCCCTCTCTCTCTCTTTCTCTCTCTCTCCTCTCATCTCTCTCTCTCTCGAATCTCTCCTGCTCCTCTCTCTCTCTCCTCCTCAACGCGCGGTCTCTCTCTTCTCCCTCCTCTCTTCCTCCTCTCTCTCTTCTCTCCGTCTCTAGGCATCCTCTCTCTCTCTCGTCCCGTGCCCGACC